ATTTCTATTTACTAGTGTGAAATAAATATATTAGAATTTATAATAAATCAAAATTAAAAATCAGAATTATAAGTTTAGTATTAAAAATCATATTTCCCCTCGACATTTCCGACATATGTCCTATATTTTGGTAAGCGACATTTCCATCGGCATCGGCATTTTAAACCTTGGTTATAAGTCATGGAGTTTGGCATGTTGCCCCACCAAGGATGCCTTGTCACCTAGGTGATAACCTTGATAACTATGATTCCAGTAAATTTTTGTTCCTATTGGACTACTAATCTGCATCTGCTCAATATCAGTACACTTGATGCAGGACAAATTGTTCCTACAACTTATCATCACTAATAAGAGAGAAAATCGCATTACTGCTTCAGACATTTCCTCATCCCACATCATAATGCTAGACCAAGTCAAATGTGGCCTACCTCAATAACCAAACTGTAAGAAGCCCTCTTTCTTCTTTCATCTAAATGAACTAAGCTAGTATTTACAATTATACACCCAAATGAACCCAACACTTTTTTAGGCCCAAACTCCAAAGGCAGAATCATTCACTAACTCGGTGTAAATCAGATACAATAGTTGAAGATAGAAAGTCAGGCACTGATGACCAAGTTTGAGGTCTAGCAAGTGAAAGGCCAAACCATGCTATTTTGCAAGCTGCATGATTAGCTTCTCGACGAGTGTACCGAACCAAGTGTGAAAGTTGTCTAAGATACTTCTGCATTCAGCCAGCAACAAACAGAGTCGCCACAGTGGTGTGGAGTCACCCACTAACAGGATTTACATAAACCTGTGCATTGATTTCCAGAATAACATCTGAGAACGCCATAGACTGTGCAAACACCAGATCCTCATAGCCATAGACTGTGCAAACACCAGATCCTCATAGAAAGCTCATGTTTCCATTTCAGGAACAGATTGAGAAGTGATCAGAGTAGCTCTTGCAAATAAAAAAGGACCCCACATGATCTCTGACCAACAACTGAACCATTCATAGCATCCATAGCACATCAACATTCACTTTTAATGAACCAAACATTTGAGGAATATACATCTTATGCATACTTCATTACTTTTAATTTACACATCAGACAAATGTCATTTGAATACCATAGTGGTTGTGCTCTACTCAGTACTGACCATATCATGATTTGTGTAGTTGTCTTACTTAACCAAATCTGTGTAGCTCCAGCAGTAATACTCGTATCTTAGCTAGTCATCAACATCCTATCTTAAATCTTAATCATAATCCACTAGCTTGTTTCCTACCAGACCAGAAAAGTATGTGGAGGGAGAATTTGGACTGGAAGGATACTAGTTTCATATGGCCACTCGAACAAATACCAGAGGAAGCATGTGGCAGTTTCAAAATGGAATGCAAAAGGTCACATGACTTTCAAGTTTCATCTTCTGAAGGAAAAAAGTAAATGTAACTTTTTGAACTGGCAGTTATGGAGCACAAACTCATGGTTACATGACATCAGTAGTATTTAACAAACAGGTTTATTACAACGTGAACTTTTTTCAAATATTTGACTGTTCTTGATATGGGAATGCAAGCTTTCTCCATGTTACCTCAAAAGGATATGATGACCCCTTGGTTTTGCTTCTAATAGTCAATATATGGGAGTATGAGATCACTGAGAACTACTCCTTAGGCAAGGAAAACATCAGGAGTGACAACTTGTCATCAACAAGGAAATACACTAAAAAAACATTTTCATGCATTGCATATTTAAGATGCACTTTCAATTCTAGAACAGCAGTTACAGCACAAAATGAAGCCTATATTTTGAGGAAATCATAATTATGGGAGAAGGAAAAGAAGGCATAATCAAATCTTTTCTTCCCTTGCATAGACTGGGATGCAGTGACCACATAGATCATAACCCCATAAGATTTGCATTAGTTTTTGAGATAAGTTTTATACATATGAAAAAGTGTGGCTCCAAAAAAACAGCTAGAACTTCCAAGTTCCAAGATCATTAGATAAGTTGATATACAACCAAGGGGAACCAAACAAAACCAAAGACTGTGATCAAATGAAACAAACTATCTCAATATTGGTTAGTTTGTTAAGTGCAGACCACATTGAGTGAAAAGAATAAACCTTCAATTAGTTAAATGCCATCAATACCCAGATACATGTACAAAGGTGCCATATCATGTCAGGTGCTCCAGGTTTTTAGTGTAAATTCCATATCTACCTTGTCCTTCCCATATCTGGGTAACATATGTTAGGGACTGCCTAACTCGGGGACTCTTTCAAGGGAGCCTGCCTCCTGAATGAGAGAGAGAAGGATAGAGAGAGAGAGAGAGAGAGAGAAAGAAAGAAAGATTGTATTCCCAAATCATAATCCCCTCCTAACTTCCTTCCCTTATTTATATACTGCTGTTACAATTCTGTTATCCCAGCCTCTCCACTTGTCTAGTTTGTTATTTAGTTTGTTCTAGTGGTTGGCTGTTAGTTACATTCTTTAAAGGCTGRCGTGGCCTTTTCTTGTACACTTGTATTCCCTTTATTTGTGTCTCAACAGTCCCTCCTCCCTTGAAAGCGACCTTGCCCTCAAGGTCAAGATGTGGGAATCTATTCTGTAAATCCAAGTAAGGTTCCCAAGTTGCATCCTCAACTGGGAGACTTGACCATACCACCAATGCCTCTGGTTCAATGTGATTCCCCTTGCGTATCCACCTGAAATCTGTTATCTGAGTGGGCTCAGTTTGAACTTGGCCATCTTCCGAGAATGATGGGAGGGTGGTTGTTGTTTTTGGCCATTTCTTCAGTAGGGATACATGGAATACAGGGTGTAATTTTGATGTTGCTGGGAGGTCAAGCATGTATGCCACCGACCCAATGCATTCCACAATCCGAAATGGGCCAAAGTACCTAGGGCTCAGCTTGTTCCACCGGTGGCCTGCTACTGAAACTTGCTTGTATGGTTGTAATTTAAGGAAGACTTGCTCCCCAATCTGGTGTTGGACAGGCCT